CTTTTTGAATTTTATAGTTGTTATATATATATATGTGTGTGTGTGTGTGTGTGTGTACTCCGTATTGTTTTTTTTTTTTTTTTTTTTGTTTGGCAGTGTGCCCCCCCTCACTTGAAATCCTGGCTCCGTCACTGGTGGGTCCTACCACTTTTAATTAATTTTTTATTTTTTTTATTTTTATTTTTTTACACCACAATTCTATATATATATTCATACACATAACAATTCTCCACCACATATATATACATATGTAAATAAATTACAAACATTACAATCTACCCTCCTTAAAAGATTTCGTCCTCGAAATCTACCTTCCTTGAAGAAGGAGGCCCACAACCATACACCTACCCGAGAACACCTCACAAAACCTCAAAACCATGAACTCTACAACATTATTGCCTTTGACACCGGACGTCACCAGGCAATCACACACCACTGCCACAAAAACACAATGCTCACCACCCTATAAGGGTACTCATTACTCACGACATCATAACATAAACTAATTAGATTTTATACTCGACTCAAAATGGACATCGACCCACCCTACACTGCTACGCAAGGCTCCAAAGCCCAAGAAGAACAGTCACAAGACCACCGAACATGATGACATCCTGTCTTAACGTGTCCCTAAAAGGACACAAAACCCCAGAAAAAGAACCCCATCCATCTCACAATCAAGCTCAACTCTAGTCTACACATCTCTTTCAGACCGAACACTCACTACCTAACACTTAACTACACCATTACATACCCGTACAACGACTACCATCCACACCAAGCAGCAATCATTAAACTTATCATCCTCAAGATGACTAAACAACAAATCTCCTAACGACTACATAATTATGAGTCACTAGAGTAATAAAACGTACTATCCTATACCTAGAACCCAAATCCTCAAAACAAGATTTTCAATAATCAATGATCATACCGCAAACCCTTTACCAGACACTTGGTACTACCTAACACACTCCGTCACCCAAAACAAATTAACCATCCGAATCCACACTGTCACACTGACACAACGCGAAATACCGTGCCCTCATTATCCTTGACAAATTGAAACAATCATTGACCTTTGACCCGACATCGTGCTAAGAAGGACTAATTCATGAGAAATGGTTGGCTAGGCCATTCTCATCATCGATCTGATCTCAACACAAATGTCATCCCTGTCCTCAGGTCTAAACCTTAAACACACTATCACGCAGTCCACAAGACAATTATGAGATCCACTCATTACCCATCCATTGCTCTACATAACCATAACGGTTAAACAGTCACATTCTTACTCTAAAAATCCCAATCTTACTTTAATCATATAACCCTAAAAAGCTAGAAATGGCACAGCACCAAACGTCACAATCATCAATCAGCACGAGAGATCTTTAATTTCTTCATAACACCCATACCAGGTAAACATCTTATAACATTACTCTATTTAAGTCTTACCTCGTCAAAACACAATGCAACTATTTCACACCTGAGATCACAAAACCAAAATCAATCTTTTCCATTATTCCCCCAATAAAATTAAAGATTCACTTTCTCTAATCACGAACCAATGACTTTATCTCCCTCCGTGGTAGTGAGTCGACTAAATCAACCAAACCTTACTGATGAACTCTAACAACATAACAAACCACACACAGGTCCGTCTACCCATTGACACGCACAACTCCAAAATGAAGATCAAGACTCACGACAAACAACGTCCTTACCAGGACTAGAACAAATGGAAAGGGTAACAAACCTCACTCTCATAAGAGACTAACGACTCGCACCTGAATGCACCCGACATCTTGTCACATGCTACACACCAACTGTCCAACCATGGACACCCAATCTTACCTGAGATGAACTAAACTCCTTACACACAAAGAGAAGAACCAAATGGATACCCGTACGGAACTACGAACTCAATTCTAGGCGACCTCGCCACTAACGAACCGTCATACACTATCAATACAGAAACCTCGTATACGATACCCCGCAACACCCATGCCAACCAAAACCAATCAAATCCCTACCACCCATTCGTCGAGTACTAAGATTCAACTCACAACACAACCATCAAACAAGAGCATAAATGCTCACAACATACCAACACTAGAAACGATCACAACCCATCGGACACCGTATCCCATTCTACCTAGATACAGTCACTCCCAAATGATAACCTCTATGCCATAAAATGACATTTTACCACCCATTCCATCTCTACCTTCCCAGGTGACATTACCTCGAACACCATGCATAAGATTCGTGACGTCAGTCACATCAACCCATTACTTGTCAAAAGAAAAAGGTGCCTATCTGGCAACATTGTCCTCACTGGCTCTAAAGACTAAGCTGCTCACCATTACCTCGACTGATACATAACCCCCATCACCTACCTGAAAACATACAACAAACAACTCATAATCTCCAAACCACCCTCTGATCATACCCCAAATCATTCTGCTTATCAATACTAAACATCACGCTATAACGTCTCTACTACCATCATCCTCAAATGACAACTTAAACCTCTCATCTCACCACATCACCAAGTCACCACCAAGCAATTCAACCTATGACACCATCATAACAAAAGAATAAGCATTACTCTCGATACCTTCCACAACAGCCACTATTTACCACTAGAAAAGAACCTTCATACGGCAATGCTATGTCGACAAATCCTTAAAACAAAATGAGCACAAATCTCAGAATGATCAACACCAAATTGTCTCCTTAAAATCATCAACAATACAATCAATCACTAATGCTCAACCGACCACTTAATCCATTATTTCAAAGGTAATCTATATGCCTAAACAAAGAAGCCTCATACCCCAGGTTCAACGTCACTACTTTCCCTCTTTTCGGTTCCTCAAAACCCCCTTGGCCCGACAAAAGTCAAATGGGGTAACTAACTAAACCTACAAGATCAACTTCATCCCAATCATCTTTATCATCAGTCTATCTCTTTGAATCCTTAAACAACAAGCACTACCTCCTCATACCCCATACGCAACATAAAATTCAACTCCAGTCTACGGCTTTCAATTTCAAAAACACAGTTCATTTGGTAACACATTACCTACCATCTATCACTTCACCTGCAAAAACCAAACATACCAATGACCCTATACTACCTGCCGTATCGTGCAATCCTACATTACATAGCTAAAACTGACCACTATACCTCACCTCGTGACTCTCTCGACAACCATGACAACCTATAACTTCGCTCATCCATCGAGGCATGCAATCGACCCACCGAGAGTCAATTTCCTGTAGCATACTCCCGCAACTTTTCGAAACAAAAAAATCACCTCTCAACTAACCGTAACCAACACACTTTCTTAGACTGCACCAGAACACCCGCAATACACATTTACAACCCATAGACTACATTCGTGACTCAAACAACTTCTGTCACACCTACCACGACCGGTTCGAAAAGAACCTCCTCACCAAACTGTAACCCAAGTCATAAGCACAAACCCCCTAAGGTCACACATTTCTCCCACGAAACCCTCACTCCATACACCTAACCTTTCCGGTCACAAAACCCATGCACTAACAAAGGAAACTCATATACCACATAGACACCGTGCCAAGAAATACGAACCCATTCTAAAGTCGTGCTCTAAACACCGCAAAAAATGCAACAAAAAGATCAGAATGATTACACACCAAATAGCTCAATCCAGGAGCTAGAAGTCCGTGCCATTCGTTCGATAAGAACCAGCACCCCAAACAACCCTGGAGCAACCGAGCTCCTCGCCTACTTAGGTCAAAACCCACACAACCATCTATGCTCAACAGCATAAACATATATGAATATAGATATATACGTATACAAAATGAATGAAACCCACAATACTATACAAAACATGCTTGCATATATTAGGCTCATTACTTGTCACATTAGCATAAAAGAAAATTACACCAACCGTGCCTACTGCTTGCCACTGTCATGTATCACATACTTTCCACTTGATCATGTATAACATGCTTTCAAATACTTTCGCATTTCATTTACATATACGGCAATTTAAACACGTAAGCACTTGGCAAATAGGTATGCCTTCAAAACTGTAAACATATAAACAATTAAGCAAGTAAACATGCGTCTTTGGTAATAAACACTTTAACACATAAGCACATAAACAATGCAATCCACCTTCCACACAACCCTAGGTAGGCCTCTACCCGTCGTCCTACTGGTTTTCGAGCCATTGCTCTGATACCAAATTTGTAACGACCCGAACCCGTGGGTTCGAATCGCTAATAGGGTCCTTACCGGAACTCGGGTCAACTAAGGATACTATCGACCTTTCCTATGTTAATGCATATTATACGTGTTATTCCAGGGTTTATAAAAAATAATAATAATAATAATAATAATAATAATAATTAAATGAGATCATATCTACAAAGGATGACAAAACAGTCCACTAACACATCAAGACCTGTGGAGGAGTGTCGTCCTCCACTTCCTTCCCGTATCCTGAAAAATGTTAAATAATGGGGTGAACTAAATGCTCAGTCGGAGGTGCCTAAGACACACCTCTTGTGACCCCATGAATCCACGTATAGAATAGAAATCAAGAGAATGGGATCATACTATACCGGGGATATAATCCATAACCACAACGTCAAATATAACCACAATTGTCATTCAAGTCACAATTATGCCATATATGCCTATGTAGTGCAATGTCATGCCCATGTCGCTCCACATTTTCTGAAACATTACCGTTTCAACTTCCAAACCATTAGTGCAATCTGACCCAAAGCACCTCTAAGGCGTTACGAAGGGAGGATTGGCTAACTATCCACGAGGCGTCGCATCTGGCCGAGTTAGCTCAACCATACTCCCCTCTAGACTACACTAACATAACGGACCACTAGGCGCCTCCTAGGCGTCCGGTTTTCACAAACACTTTTCAAAAATAATTTTTTCAAAACAATTTCATTTGCTTGAAAAACACTTTTCCCTTTCTCTTTCTTTCCCAATGGATGCATGAATGCTTCATGCTTCTAAACACAATTCAACTATTGAATTTCATATATGCTCTCCATAATAAATTTCAAAATGCGTAATTCATGCTTTCATTCAACATTAATTTAACATAATAAACATACAAGGCATAAATTATATTCCACACAGACATGCTTACACACAAAACATCAACTAACACAAAATCACATTTCTCATATACATCATTTAAGCATGTATTCTCCTTAAATAACAATTAGCACATAACCACATATTACATATATAACAATTAAGTCATCTTTACAAGAATCCACATAATTTAGGCATGCTTTACAACGATTAATGAAAGGTAATTCACTAAAATCCAAGAAAATGTGAATTAGAAATCCCTACCTCAATTTTGTAGAAAAATCCTCAAAATGGGTCCTAAATTCGAAATCCCTAGATTGCACTAAAACCACTTTTGCTCCGATCAAATCGTAGATCTCAACGCGCTCTTCGCTTTGCCGCAAACGGCTCTAAAAAATATCAAAAAATGAAGAAGAAATCAATGATTGAATTTTTATTTTGAAAAGAAAAAGAAAATGGACCAAGTAGGGGGAGAGATAAAGAGCTTACGGGAATGGGATAAAATGTGAGGCCAACATGGCCTTTTGGCCACAATTTGTATAAGTGGGGGGTCCTACCACTTTTAATTAAAAAAATTTCTTTTTTATTTTTTTTTTATTTTTTTACACCACAATTCTATATATATATATATAGACACACACACACACACACACACATAACAATTCTCCACCACATATATATACATATGTAAATAAATTACAAATATTACAGTCCTTCTAGGCTATATTAACCACCGGCCCGTTGGTAACCCCGTAGCGACCGGGTTTATCAAAACTATTTCACAAAACTTTTCTCCCAAAATTTCCCCCATTTTCATTTCAAGACAAATTCTCCCATTTCATGCATCCCAATGACATGTGCATGGATGTACATATAATCTCAATATTATGACAATGAAAAATTTGGCACAATCTAAATAAACATGTTCTCACTAGTCATTTTCAGCATATTAACACATAGTGGGCATGATAAAACAACATCTAAACATACTTTACACATGAAACAAATCATATTTAAGATCTTGAAAATTCTCTAGACCCCATTCATACAATCATAGATACAATTAACTCCCAATTAAACATATTTGACACAGCAAGGAGGTGTAATTCATAATAGAACAAGAAATGAGAAGATTAAGATGCCCCTACCTCAAAATGAGCAAAATCCCTAGAAATGGGTTCTTAAATTCGAGCTCCCGAAGAGGACCAAAAGTTGGAATTTCTGGTACAAGCACGTAGAGCTCGTTGTGCTCATCGTTTTGTTTCAAACGACACTCAAATCCGATAAGAAATGAAGAAGGAATCAAGATCCCAAGTTTGGTTCTAAAAAGAAAAGAAAAAAGAAGAAAATGAGAGAGAAGAGAGTTCAGCGGGGAGAGAGAAAGATGGAGCAAAAAAAAAAAATGGTCTCCAGACCTTTTGTGGTGTGAGTGGCGGATCCCGCCACTAGCTTTTCTTTTTGTTTTATCTTTATGCTTCAATTATCTACACTACACAAATAATAATACACATCACCATAAAATTGTCACATAATTCACATAAATTAAAATGTGAAAAATGCAACAGGACCCAACCACAATCCCGGACGAAAAGTGAAAGGACAAAAATACCCTTGTCTTCACAAATTTCCAGAAAAATGGAAAATGTTGAAAATTGGAAATATTACAAATATTTTTTAGATACTTCAACCACATATTTGATAAAATCCTGTTGTAAACCAGGTGTTTTTACCAACAGACAATAGTTTCATACACTGAACAGAATGTTATTAAATCAACAATGGTATGTAACTATGTTTATGCATCACCTCATATAAAGTGAACATATTTGATAAAGGGTAAAATGCTCAAAACACCATCTAGTATCGATATAGAGCGTTTTTTTTAATTATAAAAAACTAGTTCTAAAAGTGTTCAAATAAGGATCAACTCTCCTAAGAAGCATGGATACTTCTACAAAGGTGATGCTGTATCGGACTCCGATATTCCTCAGATATTTGCGGATACATGTATGATACTTCCTAAACATATCCATAATTTTTAAATTTTTATTTTTATTTTCAACACGTATCCGATAATTCTTATAGATACTTCGACCACGTATCCGATACTTCTCAAATAAAACCCTTCCATAATGTTTTTCCAACAGGCATTAGTTTCATACCCGTATCAAATACCGATACTCCTCGACTGCTTACAGATACGTGTCAGATACTTCCTAAACATATCCAATCCCAAAGTGCACCATTTTAACCACTTAAAATGTAACACAACCTTAAACTTTGAATTGGCTTTCATTCCCCAGGCCCCTTCCCTCTTATACACTCTCACAAGAGGGCCAAGTACGATGAATACAAAATTAAAGAGAATAGCCCCATAGCAAACAAAATATGATCACCATCTCAACAAAAAGACCATGGATTATTCGAGATACAAAAGGATATTCTCATGTTCTTCCTCACCTTCCTCGCATATAAGCTTATTTTTTATGATTTTTTTACTTGCCACAAGTGTAATGTGGGTGGAGAAGAGAGATTTATGGGATTTGTTTTATTACATTGATATGGTGAGTCATTGGTGGTAGTTTCCTTAAATCGTGGTCCCTAATTGAAACAAATCCCATAAATGGCTTACCATATCAACCGTAAATAAAACAAATCCCATAAATCTCTCTTCTCCACCAACATGTAACCCTAACAGGAGACCACCGAAGTGAAATGTTTTACTCAAGGTTCTCTTCTTCCTTCTTCCTTCTCCCTCATATGTCCATTTATTTATATTGATGGTTCGGCAGCTAAAGATTAAGTAAAAAGTTGTTAACTCGTTTAGCTAAAATCATATATGTTCAAGACATGATTATTACTAATAAAATAACATTAACTGCCTCAACTGAATTAGGAAAATTTCATATCACTTGGCATTTTTACAGAGAATAGACCACTTCATCTATATTACAAGGCAAAAGAAATGTTCAACTTGGAGGAATTTACTTAAACTAAGGGATATGGGTAGGGGCCTTATTAAGCATAGAATTGGGACAGGGAAGGACACAATGCTTTGGTTGGATTATTGGTTGCCAAATGGACCCTTAACCACCCAGCTAGGCCTCACTGATATGGAAATTCTTCAACTGAACACACAAGTCTCAGTTGATAGCCTGATTTCCAACAATCAATGGGCCATTCCTCCTCACCTACAGCATATACCCTTCCTACAGTCTCAATCTTTTCTCAATCAATTACAGTCCCTTCCATCCCCTTCAGCTTCCCCTGACTTAATTGAGTGGTTGCAGGTTTCTCTCAGAAGCATACCATGGATTGCTTCAACCCTCCATCTATATCCTTTCCTTGGCACCACCTAATTTGGTTTAAACACCATATCCCTAAGCATAGTCACATAGCGTGGTTGGCAATGAGAAAGAGATTGTACACTTCGGACACTAACCCAATGTTGAACAAGCATTATACAAATGCTTGTTACCTTTGTCTTTCTGATTGGGAATCATTTGACCAACTCTTTTTCAAATGCACATATAGTGCATCCATTTGGAACTTCATCCAGCATGCAGCTGGCTTTTACATTCAACCCACCTCCTGGGAGGACCTCATTACATGGTGTAGTTGCAACTGGGCTCAAAGTCACTTTATAACACACAAGCTTCTGCTTGTTGCAGCAATTTATTTCATATGGCAGGAGAGGAATGCAAGGGCGTTCAGGAACATTTCTTCATCACCACAGCATACCATTTCTCTCATCAAGAGCACAGTCAGAGCTAGATTTGCCTCTATCATGCTCAAGACTGGTTTGGAACTAAGGAAATTGGACTCCTTAAATGATCTCCATCAATTATTTTTAAAGGGATGCGCATTTGCTGGGGGTCACTCATGGTGTATTATGGACTAGCAACTACACTATGAATTATGGAATTGAAGGTGGCTGAGAGTTGTCTGTTCTTAGCAGTGTCAGGTTGCTTGTTAGTTGTATTTCTAGTTTGTTCACAGTTTTCTTGTTGATTGTAAGTTGTTTTCTTGGCTTGTAATGTCCCTTGTTGGACCTCATGTACATTCTTATTTTTATTTATTTACAGCTTACCCTTTTACCTAAAAAAAAAAAACTTAGCATCATAATACTTCAAACCTTTGAAATGATTTTTGCAACATGTCTTAGCCATGATCTTCTTGTTCTTTTCTTTTTCACTTATGTCAAAATGAGTGTCCATGCAGTTAAATGGACCTACCACTGAAGTGGATATCCCAATCTTAATCATGCTAGCCCTTTGCACCACCATAAAACATTCACATTGTAATGACAGAAAATGTAGGCCTAAAGTAAGTTAAAATTGGAAGTGATACTGGTAGATACGTACCGATGAAATCGATAATGAGCCGTCCATCTGAGAGTCTCCCTGCCGGCATGCGAAAGAAGGTTTCTCCATCGAAGGCTGCAGCCAATCCACCGAAGGCTGCAGCCAATCCACCGGTGTCGGAATTTGAGTCGCCGAAGTAAAAAATTGCCGGAAAATCACAACTTTGGATAGCAGAAACAGGGTTCAGGACAGTGGCATAGCACAGAAGAAAGACGCAAAAACAAGAGAGAGAAAAAGCAGACATGGTCATTGTTGGACACTCCATGTGGTGGAAGAGAACAGAGAGGAAGGAAGGTGTTTTGTTAGAAAGCTAGAGATGAAAAGTCTGGTTTATGTAGTGTTTGAAAGTAGACTTTTCAATACTATCTCAGAAGAAAATTCTCATGTTTATCCAAAGCATGGTATTTTTTTAAACCACAATCTTGAAATCTAATGATTTGCGATCTTTTACATCCTTCATGGAAATGTCAACTCAAAGACCAAAAAAAAAAATTTGATTTATATTGTGGGAAATGTATCAATAAATACATTCACGTGGAGTGGTCAAGAAATGTGGGATTCATGTTTGACCATAAACAATTGAGGTGCAATATTACTTGCACCAAAAAAAAAAATAAAAAAGACTGACTAAAATACATGAAAGGATTGTAATCAATAAATATATTCATGTAGTTTGCACATGATATCGTGAACATGTGACTAAATGTATGCTAACGAAATGAATTACAGATAAAACTTAAATTAATTGGGCTTTGATAGCAACAAGCAGTAGTCTCGTACATTGAACAAGATGCATATTAAATCAACAATGGTATGTATTAGATAGGAAACCATTAGAAACCAATATCAACAAAGATTGTTCAAGTGCAACTTTTGACAGAAGAAGTGAGTAACATTACAAGAAACTTGTGACAAATGAAAATTCGATCCAATATATGAAAAGAGAATTGCTCTAAAGGTAATGTTTTTTTATTTTTTTATTTTCTGAAGGCACATCCGAAGAGAATATGTATATATCAGGCTGCAGGACAGTAAGCCTTTATTCTATGGTAGTACATGGAACTTGAAGAAAATATATAGTTGTTCAATATATACACACATATATATATCATATAGGTGTATGTGTGTATATATTAAACAACTATAGCAACAACATATCATATAGGTGTATGTGTACTATATATGAGAAACTTTAGTCCAATTTGCTGTGACAAGCCATTCTCAAGGGAACTGGTGGATCTGTGAATTCTCCAGTGGAAATTCTATCAAACACAATCTTGTTAGCTGCCTCAGTGTAGTGAACTCCATCCCAGTTTACTCGAACAGAGGGGCGTTCACAGGAACCGATGAATATTTTGCTGCCATTAATAGTGACAGTATCTCCACAACCTCCCACACTGCTATAGTTATACTTCCCTCCATAGCCACAGCAAGCGACAAGCGGATGCTCAAACCCTGCAGATTACAAACACAACATAAATGACACATCCATATTTATATCTATATCTGTATAAATTTTGTTCCTATGTTGATGCAATGTAAAACTATGTTTAACATGGAGCTTTTGTAGTATGACATACCATATTTTTGTGGTTCAGTATAGAGAGAGTACTTGACAGAGTACACATCTACATATGTGATTGCAGCTAGAGGAAGGTCCTTCCTGAGTTGCACAATGGCCTCCTTCAACCTGTAGTTAAAGTACTGAGCTACCTCATTGTAAGCCCTCGCGCAGCCGGCACTGTCCTTTTGAGCTGCTGGAAAAGTTGCCAAGATAGAGGGAAGGCAGCCCATGGGTCCGGTGTTGTGGATCCAAAACGATCTAGCTCCCGACTTGTTTATATTCTACATCATATCACAATGTCATAGTTATAGCAATTACTATACCACATTTTTAGTCATGCCTTTTTTTTCTTTTTTTCTCCTCAAGTTATCAAATGTAACCTGTCATAAGAATGAAAAACTACACGTATGATATACGCAGCACTTTTGTGATGAAGATTATACCTTGATGTTTGTAGAGAACCTGTTGACTATATCTGGGACAGAAGCATTCACTTCCTCTATGGACATGTTACCAAAGAAACCTTGACTTAGATCATTCTGACCAATATCAAATGTGTACAAGGCTTTTTGAAAATCTTCCAACTCGGGCATTAGATCCTTGTATATCCCTCCTACAAGAGTGATTGAATTCCAGATTAACAAATAGGAAGAAATTTAAAGAGGGAATGCAGCATATATATATATATATATATATATATATATATATATATATATATATATTCAAAAAGTTTGAGCAAACGCGCACACACCCACAATATTGCACCTAGCAGGGCTCGAACACTCAACCTCCAATTGATGAAAACAGCAGATATTGAAATGAAATGGCGCTGCGCAATAATATCATTTACCTGTTTTCTTGATAATTTGTGATCTGTATATGAATTGTGTGAATTGTAAGTACTGTGCATCTAAGTAGAAGGGGCTGTATTCACCCACCGGAATAATGGACAGTGGTGGTCTGATGGTTGATGCTTTAGTGGCGAAATTTGCACCATTGTTGAAGTTGGCCCCCAAAGAATTGAGTTAAGCACTGAGAAATGGGAGTCCAAAACTTGTAGCTGCAGTGGCACAATTTTATGTTAGGTCAACAAAATGGAAGAAAATGACAATTTGCTACAAAAAATGCCTCATTTAAAATGACACTTTGCTTGCATTGGGAATACAAAATACTTTCTGTGGCTCTATATTTCATTAATCTATTTGGGTTGAAGCATGACTGGGATAGCTTTTCTGACTATTCCCTGTATGGTCATATGCATTTAAACATGCTAGGCCCCAAGTGAAATGCTATCAAAAGTCTGTCATGTGCAGCTTGGGGACTATAATGAGGTGGGTCACAGCGAGACACACACACGATTCAATGAGTACTGTAAGTCCCCCATGTGAAAAATGGATAGGCAGTAGCATTTCTAAAACGTGTCAACCCTTTTAGAGTTTAAAATGTGATACGAGCAATGCCATACAAGTCGAGTCGGCATAGGTCGATTCTCTCACAATGGGGGGAGCGAAGCTCACCACAAATAGTGGGGTTCACCATCCCTTTGAGATTGCCAAAGAATCATTTTTCAATCGTTTAATATAGAAAATTACTTATGTTTCTTCTAAAGGAATCTAAATGACACCGCAAAATCATAACCCTTCGAGACATGGTTATTACTAATAAAAATCGCATTAATTGATCATCGATGTTCATCTTGGCATCATAATGCTTCGAACCTTTGAAATGTTTTTTCCAACATGTCTTAAAAGACTCATATCCGTTTGACATGTTTATTTTAGGTGTTTTGTTTTTGGCTAAAATAAAAATAATATTTTTGTTGTATGAGTGTTTTGAAAAAAAATCGGAAACACGTTTGGAAACGATATTTTAATGTGAAAATATCGGAAACAAAAATATAAATAGTTATAGTTTTGGGTCATGAGCAGTTGTCAAATCAAGAAAAAATAACTTTTTGGTATTTTTGTTTTGGGCCACTGTTCATCAAGTGTTTTAGCACATGATAAATTAAAATAAAGTCACACCAAGCATATTTTGTTGCCAAAATGGACACCGTAAAAATAGTAGAAACAAAAAACATGCCAAACCTCTTTGTTCTCTTCACTTAATAAATACTAGTGTTTGATATTTTTCCCCTTATGTCAAAAGGAGTGTCCCATGTACCTACCACTGAAATGAATATCCCTATCTTGATCATGCTAGCCTTTTGCACCACCATAAAACATTGTAACGACAGAAATGTAGGCCCAAAGTAGACTAAAATTGAAGGTGATACTGGTAGATACATACCCATGAAATCGATGATGAGACGTCCGTCTGAGAACCTCCCTGCTGGCATGCGAAAGAAGGTTTCTCCATAAGGTGGGTTGGTCCAATTGAAGGCGGCAGACAGTCCACCAGTGTCCGAATTCGAGGCGCCAAAGTTAAAAATCGCCGAAAAATCACAACATTGCACAGCAGAAACAGGGTTCAGGACAGCGACATAGCACAGAAGAAACATGCAAAAACAAGAGAGAGGAGAGACAGACATGGTCATTGTTGGACACTCCATGTTGTGTTGGGAATCTAGAGATGAAAAGTGTAACGACCCAAGCTGTTGCCAAAATTTAAAAAAAAATCGGCATAACCTCCCCTAAAAATGGGCCTTCAACAACCTGTCCCAATATACAAAACACATAAAATCATTCAGCATCCCATTCATCCGTTCATTATACCTCAACATAGTTCCTCTCATGGTGGAACATCTACACACCAATTAATCTAAATTATCATAATTACAGTCCCAAAATACAAGATTAATATTTAAAGTCTCTGTCTTACAACGTTACATGATACAATTGCATGGAAACATCTACCATAATTCCATTAGTTTCCTTTACATCAAACAAAAGATAAGTTCGTTCTTAAGTTACAAGGCCATGAATACTAACTTAGTTACAATTCCACAACTACGAATATACATAGAACGGTCAAAATACAAAATAACAAACAACCTTCTAACAACTTTCAAGCTTGAGGTGGATTGTCGTCCACTAGTTCATTTCCAAGACCTGAAAAAAATAATATAAATAGTAGGATGAGCATAAAGTTCAGCAGGTGACACTTAAGACACACATCTTGTGTCCTTGTGAATCCAAACAAAGCATAAGCCAATGGGAAATAGGGATCATACAATGTCGGGAAATAATACAGTATAACGATTCAATCTCAAGTATATCCAATGCAATGGTACGAGATGCAATGCATGCTAGTGTCGCTCCCCATTTTCATAATCCAAAACATCGTTTCCAAACTGTTAATACAGCCCGCCTTTTGGTAGCCCCGCCGCGACACGATAGGAGGATTGGCTAGTGTTCCTGACCCTTGGTAACCCCGCGGCATCATTATGGGGCCCAGCTAGCTCAACCACGCTAGGGCGACTCCCTAGTCCCCTCTAGGCTATATTAACCTCCGGCCCGTTGGTAACCCCGCAGCGACCAGGTTTCGCATAAAACTATTTCATCAAAAACACTTCCCTGAAATTCCCCATATTTATTTCAAGAACAATTTCTCCCATTTCATGCAAACCCAATGGTATGTGCATGTATATATGTTCCATACATTCAATGTCATGGCATTTAAAATTCTACACCATAAAATTAAACATTCAACATGTTTAACATCTCCCAAGTAATTATTAACACATTAATATATAACAAAATACATTTAAGCATGCTTTACACATAAAACAAATCACATTCAAATACATGAATTTCTCTAGACAACATTTAAAATAATCATT